ATTATAATATTTTGTCGCTAAAAGTACGCAGGATTTATACATAAATATACTTGTACAGACTGGCGAAGTGTAGGGCATCCCACTAGATGGAGTGACGACCTGGTAAGACATGCAGGAAGTCAATGGATGCAAGTGGCTCGTGACCGTGCTTTATGGCATTCCTTGGGCGAGGCCTATGTTCAGCAGTGGACTTGTGGAGGGCTGTAATGATGATGATGATTATGATGATGAAACGTCTTGGAATTTATGGAGTGATCTAAAGGTGTACTTCGGTGAATGCTACTGGAACTGGACCTCCTCGAGGAGTAGAACTAGGTGTACCCAGTTTCGCCTCGTCTCGCCTCCACTAGATGGAGTGACGACCTGGTAAGACATGCAGGAAGTCAATGGATGCAAGTGGCTCGTGACCGTGCTTTATGGCATTCCTTGGGCGAGGCCTATGTTCAGCAGTGGACTTGTGGAGGGCTGTAATGATGATGATGATGATGATGAAACGTCTTGAAATTTATGGAGTGGTCTAAAGGTGTACTTCGGTGAATGCTACTGGAACTAGAACTCCTCGAAGAGTAGAACTAGGTGTACCCAATTTCGCCTCGTTTTATTAGTTATGATGAGAACTTACCTTTAGACTTGTGATAGAGTCACCTAAAGATATACTTTGATGACTACTACTGGAACTCTTCGAAGAGTAGAACTAGGTGTCCCGAGTTTGGGCTCGTTTTGTTAGTTATGAATAGAACTTACCTCCGGAGTTAATGGAGTGACTTGGAGGTGTACTTGGGTGACTGCTACTGGAACTCTTTGACTAAAAGAACTACATTTTACATTTTTTTTATTTCGTTCACGTTCATATGAGCATCTTTTGGATTTTCCAAGCTTTTTTTCTTTAAATTGAAATTTGACATAAAATTATCAGAAAATTTGAAATAAAGTAATAATTATAAGGTTCCCCGTGTAGTGGCGGGTAAGAATACTCACTACCCCATATCTTCCCGTGGGTGTCGTAAAATGCGACAGAGGGAACCTGAGACAGAAGATTGGCAGCAGCATCTTTCTGATAACAGCAAAACAACAATAAAAAACTGCGGTTGCCAACCCGCTCGCCAAGCGTGGCAACTATGGCAATATGCCTCCCCAAATGGATAAAGTTACTAAGAGACGGCCCCCAGTCCCGGGCGGCCCCGCTATTCCTGGCTACGGTGGCGACCATGGTAACGGCGGGGCAGGGGGTGCTAAGAATCTCCGCTGGAGGTTCGGTTGCCACCTAAGACGACTCGACCTGGCAACATACAACGCACGCACCCTGAGGACTGATGAGAAAATCGTGGAGCTGGAAGAAGAGATAGACAAGTTACGCTGGTATATTATAGGATTATCCGAAGTCCGAAGAGAGGGGAAGGACACGGTAATCCTCGAATCCGGCAACTTGCTCTTTCACCGGGAGGGCGACCATCTGTCCCAAGGAGGTGTCGGATTTATCGTCCACAAGTCTCTCGTTAACAACGTTGTAAAGATTGAGAGTGTGTCGACGAGGGTTGCGTACCTAATACTCAGAATCACCAAACGATATTCGCTTAAAGTCATACAGGTTTACGCACCAACCTCGGCACACCCCGATGAGGAGGTGGAGGAAATGTATGAGGATATCTCTAGAGCCATGCATTCCTCCAGAACCCACTATACCTACGGTGTTAATGGGAGACTGCAACGCAAAACTAGGCACAAGAGAGAACGGTGAGCTGAAAGTAGGGAATATCGGATAAGGGCAACGGAACCCAAGGGGCCAGCAGCTAGCCGATTTCATGGAGAAAGAGGGACTCTTTATGATGAACTCTCTTCCAGAAACGGCCTCACAGGAAGTGGACCTGGTCGAGCCCCGACGGTTCGACAAAAAATGACTTCATTATGACGACCAGACGACAACTGTTCAGTGATGTCTCCGTGATCGCGAGGGTGAAAAGTGGTAGTGATCACCGAATTGTCAGAGGCACACTGAACCTAAACATTAAGTTTGAGAGGTCTCGTCTAATGAAGTCAACGCTCCATCCCCCTGGTTCTCTGTTCCAAAGTCCCGAAACCTTTCAGCTCTAGATACGAAACGGTTTTCAGTGCCTAGAAGATTGCCATGCAGTGGACGATATAAATGACAAGTTCGTGGAAACTGTCCATGCGGTCGGAGCTAAGTTTTGCAAGACCCGCCGCAGAAAAACACAAAAACTCTCCGACACACTCTTAATCTCATAGTTGTTAGACGGGATATGAAGCTGCAGTCTTCAGTAGATTTGACAGCATACAGGCAACTGAACAGACAGATCTCCAAACGCATGCGGCGGGACTTACGCAACTTTAATACTGCTCGTATTAAAGAAGCGATCGAGCGGAACCAGGGCTCCAAAGTCTGCTAGAGATCTGTCTTCCAGAAAGAGCAAACTGTCGAAGCTGAAGACCGAGCGTGGCAGCGTCGTTTCTGGCACACCTGAGATTTTGAGTGAGATTGGGAGGTTCTATGAGCAGCTGTACACATCATCGTTGGAGCCACACGGAAGTGTGAGTAACGATCCAAGGGCGTGTCTTATCCGACACTATTCCAATGATATCCCGGACGTCAGTCTGAGCGAGATTAGAAAGGCTCTCTAGCAACTTAAAAACGGCAAGGCCCCAGGCGAGGATGGAATTACAGCGGAGCTTCTGAAAGCGGGTGGAAAACCGGTACTTGAAGTCCTTCAGAAACTCTTTAATTCCGTCATCCATGGTGGCATTACACCGGAGGCGTGGAGCAGAAGTGCGGTGGTCTTGTTCTTCAAGAAAGGCGACAACGCTCTCTTGAAGAACTACAGACCGATTTCCCTTCTGAGCCGCGTCTACGTGCTGTTTTCGAGAGTCATTACGAATTGTCTCGCGCGCAGACTTGACGACTTCCAGCCTCCCGAACAAGCCGGTTTCCGAAAAGGCTTTATTACCATAGACCACATACATACCCTGCGGCAGATTGTACAGAAGACAGAGGAGTATAATCTGCCACTTTGCCTTGCGTATGTGGACTATGAGAAAGCCTTTGATTCCGTCGAAATTTGGGCGGTGCTGCAGTCCCTTCAGCGATGCCAAGTTGACTGTCGGTATAACGAAGTGCTGAAGTACTTGTACAGTATGGCTACGATGGCTATCCGAGTACAGAATCAGATTACGAAACCTATTCAATTGCAGAGAGGTGTAAGACAGGGTGACGTGATATCCCCGAAACTCTTCACCGCTGCATTGAAGACGTTTTCAAGCTTCTGGACTATAAAGGATACGGTATTAATATCAATGGCGAGTACATCACTTACCTTCGATTTTCCGACGATATAGTCCTTATGGGAGAAATGCTGGAGGACCTAAGCACTATGCCCAATGACCTCAATAGTGTTTCCCAACGGATAGGTCTTAATATGAACATGGACAAAACAAAGACATGTTTAATGTCCATGTCACACCTATGCCGGTAGTTCTTGGGAGCACTAAGCTTGAAGTTGTTGACGAATATGTTTACCTGGGACAAAAATAGTCCGAATAGGTAAGTCCAACTTCGACCAAGTGGTCGATCGACGGATTCAACTCGGTTGGGCAGCGTTTGGGAAATTACGGCACATCTTCTCGTCAGGTATACTGTAAAACTTGAAAACGAGACTCTACAACCAGTGCGTGTTGCCAGTGATGACCTATGGTACTGAGACGTGGTCCTTCACTGCTATCCGGATGAGGAAGCTCAAGGTCGCTCAGCGAGCTATGGAGAGGGCTATGATCGGCTGTTTCTCTACGTGATAAACTTAGAAATCAGGATATCCGCAGTAGAACCAGAGTGACCGACATAGCCCAACGGATTAGTAAGCTGAAGTGGCAATGGGTCGGCCATATAACTCGAAGAACCGACAGCCGATGGGGAAAAAAGTTTCTCGAGTGGTAGCCCCGTACCGGCGGACGAAGTGTAGGGCATCCCCCCACTAGATGGAGTGACGACCTGGTAAGATATGCAGGAAATCGATGGATGCAGGTGGCTCAGGACCGTGCTTTGTGGCATTCATTGGGGGAGGCCTATATTCAGCAGTGGACTTGTGAAGGGCTGTAATGATGATAATATAAGGTTTTAAGTGAAAACTTATGTGTAACTAGCTGTTCCCCGCGGCTTCGCCCGCGTGTTATTTAGGATCTTAATTTTTTTTGCGTGGAACCCTAATTCTTTTTCTTAAATAAAAGAAGCCTAAGTTACTCCTTATAACGACAGCTGTCTGCCAGTGAAAGTCCAATCAAAATCGGTCCAGCATTTTTGGAAATTAGCCGGAACAAACAGACAGACAGACAAAAATTTTAAAAATTATGTTTTTGTTATAAGTATCGTATATACTTTCATATGCATTTGTAATTTTTTATGGAATTGAAAGCGTTGGTGAAACTGAACACCTTTCCTAAAAAACATTGTTCATAAATAAATAATGTACATTGTTTTAATATTGATTAAAATAAGTTAAATAATTGATGAACTAATAAAAAGTGTATATTTAAAAAAAAACATAGGTTGAACAAGGAAAATTAAAATTTTGTTCATTCATACAAAAGTCGATGTCGAACGCAAGGGTGTCGCTACACTTACCAACTATTCTTACTACATAATATAACGAGACTATACTTAACTTTTTCTAGGTGCTGATGGAACTGTTTAGGTACTAGGTAATTATTGCAATCAAATATATCAGGCACACAAATAATAAAATTGTATTTTATATTTATTTATTGATTTTCCCAAGACAAATTTCCATTTTCGGAACTAAAGTAAACACAACACTTGTCTCGGATAACAAATGCTGCTCCAGTAGAATTATTACGAATACCTTCAAATGATATAAAGTTATCTGGTACATCGTTTGGTAGATCTTGCAAAAAGATGTTGTCATCTTCGTCGTTCCGTAGCATGTTGTGTAAGCAACAACAGCATAAAATTATGTTATCAATAATTTCTAGTTGCACTACAATATCTGTATGAAATATCCGCCATCTTGCTGCCAAAATGCCAAATGCGTTTTTGACTGTCCTCCTTGCACGTGATAATCTATAATTGATTTTTTTTAATTTATGTTATTAGAAACCGTTTCATTACTGTATGGTCTCATTAAATATGGTTTTAATGGTAACGCTTGGTCTCCTATAATGACATGTGGCATGGGCTCACCACCATTTTCCAGTGATGTATCTGTTGGTATATCTGCAGTGTCAGTCGCCATTGAAGTTCCCAGTTTTGACTCAGTAAACACACCACCGTCACTGTTACGTCCGAAGGCTCCAACTTCAACTGCAATGAATTTGTAGTTAGCGTCAACTAATGCTAAAAGAACGACAGAATGTCGGCCTTTGTAATTATAGAATGACGTTCCCGCATTATTTGGACAAAACAGCATAACATGCTTCCCATCTAAGCTTCCCACACAATAAGGAAACTGCCATTTGTCACTGTACGTTTTCGCAATTTGTTTCCACTTTTCTTTAATTAGTTTTAGCATAAAAATATCTTTTACATTTTTCCAAATGGCAATAGTTACATTTAGAACGATAGCTTTTACTGTGCTGAATCCCATTCTGTATCTAAATCCTTGCGATCTAAATGATTCTCCTGCGGCTAAAAACCTGAAAATAAAATAGTACCGTTATGTTTAAGCGCGAAAAGGTACACAGACAGAGTTACTTTTACATTTATAATATACTAGATGACCCGGCGAACTTAGTACCGCCTAACAGTCGATTCTTTAATTTTTATTTTTTTAATACTTATTCTGCTATTCGGGACACCTAGCTAGTAAGATAAAAAAGAAAAAAGAAAGTTGATAAGTCAACAATTTCATTATGTCAAAAAATAAAAATTATAAAACACTTAAAATTCTTTCAATAGTCACTAAAAAATCACAATGAAAATTACAATTTCTGATTTCTTATTATGATACCTACTTAACATATTTCATTTTATTTTTACTTATTCTAAATTATGTTTCCATCGTATAAATATTTGTCAATATTTATACGATGGAAACGTCACTCAATGGTTTTGCCTTCCCGGAACCCCTCCACTAACACTTAAACTTTATAGCATGGTATTAAAGTTCAAATTGACGAATTACGAATCTTTTGTATGGGAATATAGAAAAGTCTTGTTTTTAGATTTTTTCAGGCAATTTTTAAATTTTTTCTCTACGTAAGAACCATCTTCGTACTTCAAGGAATATTATAAAAAAAGAATTAGCGAAATCGGTTCAGCTGGTCTCGAGATTTGCGCTTAGCAACACATTCAGCGATTCATTTTTATATAATAGAAAGAACGGATAAACCTATTCCTTTTAATTAAGATAATAATACGTCTTTCTTTTTCTTTTTAGCTTCGATATGCGAGGCAAAATGGAACTTGTTACGAAATGCATTCGTACATGCTGTAAGCAGACGAAAAACAGTGACAGAGCAAGGCGTAAAAAACTTGAAGAAGTGGAAATTTGAAGAGAAGCTATGTCATTTTTATTACCTTTTATGACATATAACACACATCAGAGAAAACGGAACAATAACAATAATTATCACGAACAGATCTTAAATGTGAGGAAAGCAAGAAGTCAGAGTAAATCAGGAAAAGATGACATTGACTTATTCTTTGAAACAATGGCTAAAACAGTGTCAAGAAGTTACCTAGAATAGAGCAAGTTAAATTAAAATTCTTTTTCATTGACCAGTTTCAGGTCAATGAAAAATAAAAAGAGGTGGCTGGATTCGCCGATAGAATATTCGGCTTCTTCAAGTAGAATGTCAGAAATATTAACACCATCTCCCCAACCGTTCATGCGCCGCAAATCTTCTCATTACTTAACAGAATAATCTACCTAGCCGTATATATCTTCATGCTCACCTCAGAGCACCCAACGATCACCTTCTCCTTTCACTCAACAAGTTTCCTCTCCTGTGTATGTATCACAATTTTTACCGTCTCCCCAATTCACTTACCAATCACCTCCTTTCTCTAGAAAATCTGCGTCTTACGTCCTGCAGTCTTCACCCTCACTACAGAACACCCACCAATCACCTCTATTTATTCGACAGTCTGCCTTATCTTCATCTGTAGAACATTTTTGATACTCATCTCAAAACACACATCAATCATTTTCTTTCATTCGATCATCTGTCTCGCCTTCATCTTTAAAGCTTTATCCTCACCTCAGAACGCTCTCCCATCACCTTCTTTCACTCGACAATCTGCTTCGTATTCATCTGTATTGCCGTCTTCACCAACTGCTCCGAGCACCCATAAATTATTTCCCACTCAACAGTTTTCCTTGCCTCTGTCCTCTAACATAACCCAGTCATCTACTTCACAAATGTCCTCTACACAATTCAACTCTCAGTCATTACTGCAGATAACACGAAATTCTGTTATTGAGCTCTCCATGTCTTCTTTAGAAGAATTATATGAAGTAGATTAGACAGCATCCATGAACACAGGAAAGCTGCAGTGTGATATATGAAGGCCTAGCAAAATCAATTCTTGAATATTTGATCATCAAAAAACCTTAATAAATAAACAAATTAAATTGAGCACATTCGTAATATTATTTAGGTATATATCTACCTCAAAGTCACCACTAGACGCTCTCAGTTATCACTTTCCGAAACTGTGTCATTTGTTTTTGATATCATTTTCAATTAGACAAAGTAGAAAATTAAATTGGTCTTGATTCATTCTTAAGTACATTTTGTAACGTTTATCATCTTTTTGTAAGTCTGGATACAATTTATGAAATTCACCATACACGAGTCGTTTTACATTAATATCATCGACCCAAACACTCCTTTTCACTTTTTTTTTTGGAGGACAATATAAGGCAGCTGCCGCTAACTCTATAAATTCGTCCTCGTTGTCGCTGCTTGTCATGTTCCTCGATTGACAAACTTTTATGAAATGACTGAAGTGAGTCGTCCGAAAACGCTCTCTGGACTACCGTGCACATCGCTAAGCCGCGTCTGTCAGCCACGGCTGACGGACGCGTCTGATAGTTTGTTCTCAGCTTTATTTGTACGGCCTAGAAATAATTGTTCCGGGTCTGGATGTTTTTCCTTGCGCAATTTATGTATGTAAACTGCCCCCACGATACAGGAGAAAATCCTAGTTATTAATTCCTTGTGTTTAGGTAATGTTTTTTATTTCTTTTTTTATTTGCGTTTACTTACATATTGGACGAGGAATTTACTTAGAATAATTTAATTTAAAATATTATACTTGAATAGTAGGTATTATTATTTTATTTATTTTAATAGCTACAGCATTTATAGAATGCTTTTATCTGCTATTCCTTATTTAGGAACAATAGATTAGAGACAAGATTTAGATACCCAATTACAATTCCTACTGAGGTATTGTGATTATTTGTGATTAGGAATACTGGGTTGGTATTAATAAATAGAACAAAATAAAATATAAAGTCAATTTTATTATCTTGAATGTCAAAAATTAATTACAAATTTTTTAACTTCCTTAAATTATGAACAAATACAGACATTATTACAATACAGCTATTAAATGAACATATACACATACATTCATCCACACTCAGTATAAACTTACACACTACGCATACAACATGAACACTATATATATAATAATTTTTTATATATTAGTGCTATAAGACCGATGGTAAGATTCTAGTCATGTTTTTATTATCTTTATTGTTTTCGTTATAAGTATACTACTGCTTACTAAATTCACGAAACGGTGTTCTCTGATATGTTAATACTAGATATGATTTCTGTACACGAATACTTAAAGTCCATATCGCTATTTTCATTTACATTAGGGGATGATGAAGCAATAAATACGCTCCCAAAAAAATTATTAAACGCTGTACATATCCTAGGGCCATCTTTGTATTCATCTTTAGCTAATTTGAAATTCTTTGGATAATTTGAGCTACCTCTTTTTGATTTGACATAAGTTCAAAAAATTTTGGTGAGCGTTTAATAGTACTCTCAGCATGCCTAGGAAATACTTTGAGACATTGTTCTCGGACGCGGTGATATCTTGCTCTGAGCATAGAGAATTTATCATAATCTCGTGAGTTTTTAAATGTCTTCCATTTTCTATGCATTTTATGTTTCTCTTTAATAATGTTTATCAACGGTGAAGAGTACCAGATCGGATAGTGATTAGTAGCATTAATATAATTAGAGACAGGAACATGGACTTTATTACCTCCATCTTCGATTGCTCGTACCATCTGTATGCCGATGACCTTCAGCTATACGTGCAAGCTGAAATAGGGGGTATCCATAATGGGATTAAAAAATTAAATAAAAACTTATCAGCTATCAAGGATTGGTCTAATCGTTATGGAGTGTTGGTCAATCCTTCGAAATGCCAAGCTATACTGGTGGGTAGCTCAAGGATGCTAGCCAAGATTAATCTTGCAGACATACCCCCTATCTATTACAATGGAATTACAATAACGTTCAGTAAGTCTGTAAAAAATCTTGGCCTACACATTGACAGCACGCTGAATTGGAGAACTCAGGTTACTGAAGTCAGTCGTAAAGTCACTGCCACGTTACGTTCTCTGTATCGTTTAAAACATTTTCTTTCCACAAAGTCAAAGATCATGCTTATCCAATCTCTCATATTACCCGTAATTGATTATGGAGATGTGTGTTACCCGGATCTGTCCCAGGATCTTCTGAACAAGCTGGAACGCCTTCTCAATAACTGTATAAGATTTATTTTCGGGCTTCGTAAGTATGACCATATTTCGCAATATAGATCTAAGCTTAATTGGCTTACAATCCGGCAGAGGCGTATTTCCAGAATATTACTTGTTCTTTTTTCCATATTAAATGACCCATTTTCGCCTTCTTATCTTAAGAGTAAATTTCACTATCTCTCCTCATCTCATGATATGGTTCTACGTTCTTCTTCTAACAACAAAATATGTATTCCAGTTCACTTCACCGAGTTCTATGGTAACTCCTTTACAGTTCAGGCTACACGCCTTTGGAACTCCTTGCCTGATGAAATCAGAAAAGCACCCAATAAGTTTGCTTTTAAAAAGTTGGTGCGTAATCATCTATTAAAGACAACGCTTCTTACATGAATCATCTATGTCATTTATATTTTAGACGTATGTATTTATAGTTATTTATATGTACTATTTGTATATGTATGTTGATATGAATATATGTATGCTTATGTATATAGGTATATATTTGTATACATGTATGAATAGGACATATTTTTATAGTTTATTTATTGTATATATTAGTTAAATGTATATATAACGTAATTAATTATCATTTCTATTTAATTTTTATTCTATATTGCTACACCTACTTCAAATTCTCACCACTCCATGGGTTAACTGGTAGAGAATGCCATAAGGCATTAAGTCCGCCCTTTGTATTCTTTTAGATTAAGGAGTGCAATAAAGAATAAATAAATAAATAAACATGTAGCAAGAAACATTCATGTAACTTATTATAAAATAACTCAACAGCTTTATCTATAGAATCTGCTTTTAAAACATTGCACCAATCAATATTAAAAAAGTATTCGTTAATT